CACTCAAATCGTCTCCAACAGTTGACCATCCTATCTCCCTGACGTCAGTCATTTCGGTGACCAACGGAAATCTGCCGCATGCCCTTGACGAACCACTAGCTCCGACAGCCTCTCGGTCGTCGAAGCCACCACGGAAAGCCAGAGTTGCGGAGACTCCTTATAAAATAGGGTCATGTCTCTTACGGCATCAGCGGCCTCCGCTGTGTTGACCTTGCTTGCCGACAAACCCGATGATGGAAGCAAGAGGCGGTGGGATGATCAGTTAAAAGAACAGCGCGATCTGTACACACAATTTGTGATTAGCTCGGCGCTGGGTCTCATCGCCTTTTTGACATTCTGTGTATGTGTTTCTGCTACTATGAGATGTGGGTCTTGTTCATCGCTGATAGTTTCATCTTAGATCTTGCGACCAAAATGGACCGAGTTGTATGCCGCGCGACGACGACAAAGAAATGCTGCTTCGCGGCTACCTGAGCTTCCCGACACCCTTTTCGGTTGGATCCCCGTTCTCCATCAGATTACAGAAGAGGAAGTGCTGCAGTCTGCGGGCCTAGATGCATATGTGGTATGTTCAAATGCTTTGGCTGCTCTACCAGACAATGGACCATTGCTAACTTGACTCTCTGGGTAGTTCTTGTCTTTCTTCAAGTTTGCAATCCGATTCCTCTTGGCCGTCTTTATCTTCGCTGTTGCGATCATCCTCCCTATGCACTACAAATACACCGGCCAATATGGAGTTCCTGGTTGGGATAACGTCCCTGGCAATAAGACCATGATTCCAACTGGTGGAAATGATAAGGAAAAGCCAGTTACAGACCCTGCATATCTGTGGATTTATGTGTTGTTCGCATATGTCTTCAGTGGATTGGCCATCTACATGCTTCTTGATGAGACAAAAGTAATCATCCGCACTCGGCAAACCTATCTCGGAAACCAGACCAGCACCACTGATCGCACCATTCGTTTGTCCGGGATCCCACACGACTTGGGGACCGAAGATAAGATCAAAGAATTTGTGGAAGGCCTGCGAGTCGGCAACGTTGAGAGTATCACGGTGTGCCGACAGTGGCGCGAGCTAGACGAATTGATCGATGAGAGGATGAAGGTCATCCGTGAACTTGAAAGAGCATGGACAAAACATATGGGATACAAACGCCCAAAGAGTGATGGAAATCTGTTGCCGCTGACCGAACAACAACCCCGTGATGCAGACGATGAACGGTCCGGGCTCTTGTCCGGACATGAGAACGAGGATGTCTCGGGTTATTCGAATGAAAGACCCAAGGTTCGTATCTGGTACGGTCCACTCAAGCTTCGTTTCCGGATGATCGATGCAATCGATTACTACGAGGAAAAGCTACGGAAGATTGATGAACATATTCAAAATGCCCGAGAGAAAGAATACCTTTCTACCGAGATCGCTTTCGTCACGATGGAGTCAATCGCTGCATCTCAAATGCTTGTTCAGGCGATCCTTGATCCGCACCCAATGCAAATGTTCGCTCGTCTGGCGCCGGCGCCGGCAGATGTTATTTGGAAAAATACTTACTTGTCTCGTACTCGACGAATGATTCAGTCATGGTCCATCACCTTTGTCATTGCATTCCTCACCGTGTTTTGGTCTGTGCTCTTGGTTCCTATTGCCTCATTGCTGGAGCTGAAGACTCTTGAGACGATTGTCCCCAAGCTGGCTGAGTTCCTCCAGGAGCATCCGATCATCAAATCGTTGGTTCAAACGGGATTGCCTACCCTCGCATTCTCGCTGTTGACGGTAGCTGTCCCTTATCTGTATGAGTGTAAGTTTTCCTATTCAACATGACCCTTCATGTACTCGTTCACCTCACTGATCATCTTTGCAGGGCTCTCGAATAACCAAGGAATGGTGTCACGTGGTGATGTTGAGCTGTCCGTTATTTCCAAGAACTTCTTCTTCTCGTTCTTCAATCTGTTCCTTCTGTTCACTGTGTTTGGAACAGCAAGTGGTTTCTATGGGTTCTGGGAAAGTCTTCGGGATGCATTCAAAGATTCTACGACGATTGCCCTCGCACTGGCCAATTCCCTCGAAGGCCTGGCTCCGTTCTACATCAACCTGTTGATTCTTCAGGGGTTGGGCCTTTTCCCTTTCCGACTGCTCGAATTTGGAAGTGTCGCGTTATACCCCTTCCACTTCCTGTCGGCCCGCACGCCCCGGGAATATGCGGAGCTATCAACTCCTCCCAAGTTTAGCTACGGTTTCTCCATCCCGCAAACCATTTTGATATTGGTTATCTGCGTGGTTTACAGTGTGTTCCCGAGCTCGTGGCTGATCTGCCTATTCGGCCTGATCTACTTCACAATCGGCAAATTTATCTACAAATACCAACTGCTGTATGCCATGGATCACCAGCAACATTCCACGGGTCGCGCATGGCCAATGATTTGCAACCGCGTATTCGTGGGGCTGTTGGTTCACCAGCTGGCCATGATTGGCGTTCTGGCTCTGCGCCGAGCCATCACCCGGTCGCTACTCCTGGTACCACTTCTAGGCTTCACCGTTTGGTTTTCATACTGGTTTGGGCGTACATACGAGCCCTTGATGAAATTCATTGCCCTCAAGAGTATCAATCGGGACCAGCCGGGTGATGGCGAGATCTCCCCGTCGTCTTCGTCGACCCTCTCACCGCCATCAGGCCTGGATCGCGATAGCCTTCCGATACGTATTGGCGGACAGGACCTTGAGTTACGGCTGAAGAAGTACGTCAACCCGAGCTTGATTGTCCCGCTGCATGCTGCCTGGCTTCCCGGTCAGCACTCTGCTCGAGGCAATGGAAATGGTGCATCCGCTTTCGAGGTTCATCAGACATGGAATGTTTGATCTCACCGGTTGTGCGGATTTCAGCTTCGCATGATCTACCCTTCTTCCGGTTAATACACTCTTTTTCTCTCTCTCTACATATGTCTTTTGACTCATCATGTTTTACGATCTTGATACCTTTGCATTTCACTATATTGTTCTGATATGTTTTCATGGTTATGATATCCTTGTGTGATATATTTGCTTTCCGGGCTCGTCTCGCCTATCCCTCGCTATTCCCCTCCCCGCCCAATAATTGATTTTTTGTTAATTGATTTTTCAAATGCTTTCGTTTATGTATTTCAGAGTTTATGTCAAAGTAGAATATAGATTCTGTAGGGTACTGGTGATTCCTGAATTTTGGTCGCTTTCTACTTTCTACCCGTCAGGCGCGAGTGGCTGCGTTTCGAACACAACCCAGACTCCAACTGCGGCACATCTCGTGTCTAGGATTCCTCGGTAAAGATCCAAATCGGATTCGCTAAGGTTTATTCTGATCTCACATTCTTGAATTCCAAAATAAGCCCGCGGGAAACGTGGCAGTGTCTGAGCACGAAGTCAATACATAGTCTAACCAAAGAAAGAGCGGGTGAGAAAGCTGAACTCCGATGCAGAAGTATTTGGATGTATGTTGTATGTAAAAGAAAAAAGTGTGTGTACGAAGGATTGACTTCGATGAGGCTGAGACATTCTTCTGCTAGGGGCGAGGGCCACATCACAATTGTGATCTAGTGATATGTTGTATAGACATGGATGTGAAAACAATACACAATAGCCCTTCTTTGCATCCGATCGAAATTCGCAATTCGGTTCGATCCAACCTCCGGTGCGGACATACCTCGAACATCTACGGAATCACCGTCTTCTGGAATCCCTAGGGTCCACATGGTCGGGGGCGCATTCCTGAGCAGTGGGGGGATGACACAGTTGTCTCTCTTGCGGTGAGGAGATGAAACAGTAAGAAAAAGAACAGAGACAAAACAAAGTATCCTTGGGACGTTGAGGAATGTGGGATATATGTTGAACTAAATAGTGATCATGGATTGTATATTGTCTCATTACAACTAGTTATTGTATATTGTAAAGAGAGACACATATGCATGTAAGCGGTGAGGTTCAATCAAAGTGCCAAGCCATGCGCTGCATCCGGGGCGCATTCCTTAATTCTCCCAGAGATCCTCTGGAATGTCAGTGTTGCAGATTGATAGTGGGTTTCTTGGTTCTTTTTGAATATTGTAACCGGGTTGTAACCAGGGATCTATGATCTAGTTAACTAGTTAGGGCTGCTACGGTATCTTAGTAAGTGGATTATTGAATTCAACCATATGGAAAGAAAGCGAATAAGTTGATGCATAGAGTTAAGCTTGGTTTGCCTCCAGTCCATTCCAATCATACAATCATACTATAATACAATATGGAATGACAGTAGCTGCATTTAATGCATGACTGTATGACTGTATGACTGTATGACTGCATGATTGTAATAGTATTAATCTATTAATCTATTAATCACCTACCTAAACAGGTAACTATACTCTTGACGTGATCCACTTTTCTCAGCTGTGCCCTATACTCCGTCTACTTTTTCTTAAATATCAATGTCAGAACGGTAAATAACTAATTGAAACATTTGAATTAACCAAACGAACAAAAAACTCAGTTATCGCCTCGGGAAACAGTGAGGTACATGATTTAATTAAAGTCAGCCCTTGCCTCGCCCTCGAATCTCTCGGGTTTCATTTTTTTGCATTAAATTCCCGTCGCACCGCTTTCAGACGTGAGGCCAATACAACCTTACACTTAGCACGTACTTCATTCAAACTCTATTATCGTGAGTGTATATTCTTTTCTTAAAAAGTGAGTGGACTTTCTTCTTGGGAATTCAAATTGCTGGAAATATCTGGTTCGAAAGATTGCAGATCTGCGGGCTGACTAGTGTCCTAGACGATTCATCCGCAACTGAACACTTGGTGCTGTATAGACCTGGTTGTCAGGAGAAATCTCTTTTCCACGGCTCTATTCTAGACGCCAATCAATTAATTGTCGTCAAATTCATATTGATACAATTTCAATTTCCGATTTCCCAGCAATGTTCGGGAATTGAACGAGAGACTGACATCCAGTGGTGAATATTGGATCATTCTCTTTGCTGGAAGGCTGTATCAGCATGCCTGCGCTGCGGTCTGCTAGTCAAGACTGGGCCCATCAAATGTCCACCGATGTCTCCATCACGCACACCAAACGAAGGTCAACGAGGCCAATACCCTCAAATTCAAATAAGTCTGCGACAAGGTACATGTCACAGAGCCAACCGCTCTCAATATGCAATTCGACAAGCAAATCATCCCCTCCCGCTGCAAATATTGCACCAGCAGAGATCCTGCTGGAGATTTTCTCCATGCTGACACCGCGGGACTTCGACAATGCCCGGCGAACATGCTCACAGTGGATGCGGACTAGCCTGAACCACAGGCTACTTGAGAACATGTTGAAAAGAGCAGGGTGGTGGGACGCATGGTTGCAAGACCGGCAAACGCCACAAATCTCCCGGTTAGATGAGAGTGAGGTCTGGAGAATGAGCCGCCGCTTTGCGACAGAATGTCTCCTTTCCGGGCGAAAATTGAATGTCGAGAAGCCAGGCTTTTTGACTACCGCGGTGGTAGACTTTTCAAGTCTGTCCGATTTTACAAGAACATCCCGCCGCACTCGACTCCAGTCCGTTTTGCAGATGACCGAAAGTAAAGGGTCCGGGGTAACAACTTTCAGCATTAGCAGTTGCAGCAACTATCTTCTCGTGACGACAGGCTGCATGATCTATATTTATTATCTATCAGGTCGAAAGCCCAGGCCAACACCTGCAACGAACTTCAGCAATGATACCTTGGCGCTAGTCTCGCGTATCTCATGTCCTTTCGATATTCTTTCGGCCACTATAGACACCAGCACGCCCCAATTCACCATCGCTGCATTACTGTGCAACCGCGTCGGCATGATCTGCAACTTGGATATGGCTTGGGCCAAAGATTCAGCCAAGGGATCTCACTCCAATAACAAAATGGCCACCTCATCCCGCCACTTCTTTTACAATATCTGCACAGTGGACAACCCACCACGAACAGTTGCTCTCTGTCCGGGCCGGCCAATCGTCGCCTTCGGCTGCGCCGCGGGTATTGAAATCCACAGCGTAAACGAAACAAAGCGCAATGAACAACGCAAACACTTCACCCTCCCTCAACCCTCCGAAATCCTTCATTTCCTCCCAAGTAGCTCAGAAACACCCAGCGAGCTACGTCTCATTTCTTCACTATCCGGATCGGGCTTGCACGAATGCAAGTGTGCCCCCTTCACCCTCCCTTTCATCTTCATCCTCTTCGATATCATCCCCGAAACTCGACCCAAAAAACAACCAATTCCATTTCCTCGCAGATATTCAATCCTTCAATCGCCGCCGCATTCCTCACGCCCCATCCCGCAGCTTCGTCCGCGCAACACACTGTCACCACTACCGTGCAGTCCCCATCAACGACGGTTTCCACATCATGTTCATCGAGCCACGCACAAACCTACTATGCATCGGCACCGATGCTCCAATCGGCGGTCCAACAAGCCTAACCCGCGCATTCGTCTGCATTCCGCCGCCTTTCTCAAATGCCCAAGACGGACAGACCAAGACACCACCCCCATCTCCATCTCCCTCAAACACAACGCCACTTCCAGCAGACCTCCCAACTCCAACAACCTTCACCTCGGGCTCCGACCTCCGCTGGGGTCTCCGTGTTGTCGCAGCCTATGGTGACCGCCTTGTGCTGTACTCTATCCCCTTGGACGTATTCAACGTGATTTGTAAAGAGCGTGAACGTCAAGCCGATGGGATAATGGGTGCCAGCGATCTCGGGCTTGATTGGTACGTTGACGCGGAGCGGTCCCGCAAGCAGCAGGAGAGTTTGGTGCAGAATCAGAATGGAGATTGGGAGTTCCTTTTGTCTGTCTCCTATCGTCCTACCGCTATGATGTGGCCGTTTAAGATCTATGGCAAGGAGATCGGGTCTGTCAAGGGGACTGTGGAGCTTGCTTTGCAATCTTCCCAGGGTGGAGTTAGGGTTTGGGCTTTTGGGGAGGATGGTAAAGCGACGGTTTTGGATGTTGATACTGGTGATGCTCCCACTCGGTCTCTTGGTGTTGGTTCTGATGGGGGATTGAAAGACCTTGGTATCGTTCAGAGGACTGGTCTGGGTGGTCTAGGAGTTTCGAGGAAACGGAAGTTCGAGGAGGTGAGGACTGGGTTCACGGGTCGATATGGTGCTGGTCGCTATTTGGCTGGAGTGGATGTCAAGCCTTGTGCTGCTGGTGTTCATGGTATTCATCAGGATCCATCTGTTCGACGTTCATCTTTTGCAGCTTGCATTATAGATTTTAAGATTCCCTTGTATTAAATTTGTTATGTGAATATATTCTTATCGGATGTTCAACTGTTCAACTGATTGTGGTTTCCTTCTTTCCTCTCTTGTCTCTTGTCTCTTCTCTCTTCTATCTCCCTCCTCCCCTCTCTTCTCTTCTCTCCTTTCTTGATTCATCTCTCTTCTTTTATTCTCTTCTCACCCTTTTCATTTCTCCCACTTCATTTACTTCCCCCACTTCTCGCCTTTCGGGGTCCGTCTTGAGAGACTTTGCAGGCGAATTCCACGTTTGACATCAATTGAGAGTAAGTTGATATCCATGGATTGTGTAAAGAAATTATGCTTATCCCTTTCATCTAGCCTTCTTGTACAAAACTCGCCATCTACAATGGATTCAATTCCCATGGCCAGCCTCCCTTGCGACTGCTGGCTAGAGATACTAGAGCGTCTACCACAACAGGATTTGAACAGCCTGTCGCAGGTTTCTCGTGAAATCCGTGTTTCAGCTGAGCTTTTCTTGTATCGATCGATCCACTGGGATTGGAAGAATCCCCCGATTCACAGAATCCTGCTCCTTCTCCGAACTATCTCCGGGCGACCAAAGTTGGCTTCCTACATCAAGCATGTCAGTTTGGTATGGTGGGATGTGGAATCACAGGAGGGAACAGAGATTTGCATCCCCAAAGGAGAAGTTGACTGGGGAAAGATGATTCTACAGTCTAGGCCCACTTTGAGATGGGCCCGGAAGGTTGTTCGAGACGCGAAATTCGAGGCAAGATTCGATACAAAATGGATGACACGACTGTTTGATGGGGATGCCTACGTCTATGCCACACTGCTGATCTCGCAACTTCACAACCTTCGCACCCTTCGACTGGATTACTCATTCATGCTTGAAGGGGGCTTTCCTGGGGAGATGTTGCATCATTCTCTCTTTGGGAACGCACCCCCTGGCATCTTAAGTCGCTTCTCAAAATTAGAAATGGTCGACTATGGAAGCAATCTTCCTCTCAAAAAGCCCCGCGACAGTGACCCGATCAAAATCGGCAGAGCTAATAGTCAACTTGTCCCGTGGTTCCACCTTCCTTCCTTGAAGGTTCTCGAGCTTTGGCTCCATGGTCTGGAGGGAATTTGTATCTTCCCTGGGCAGATACCAAAAAGATCCTTGAATTTGTCAAACCTGCGCAGTCTTGTTATTGACAAGACACGTGTTTCGCCTAAGGACATCGCAGCACTGGTGTCTCAAGTACCATATCTAGAGTCCTTGCATGTGGGCATGGTCTACGGATGCCGGACGACAGCTGAGTTTCTCAGGGACCCCCAAAGCCTCCTTCAGTTCTTAGAAACTTCGGTTCAAACAATCGAACACCTCTCTATCGGTGTGGAGCTTTCCCCATGCTGTGTAGAAACCTTCCGTCTGCGTATGAAGGATGAAGCTGGTGAGCCATTCCGTGGCATCCTGAAGAGGTTCCCCAAACTAAAAACGGCTTCTTTGCCACTCGGCTTTCTCATCGGTTGGGGTACAAAGCCCTACGAGCTTCGAGACGTACTACCACTCACTCTCGAAGCCCTTCACATAAGGCCTGATCTCTGGGGATCCTCACACCCAATTGTATTCGAAATGGAAACTCTCCAGGCATTAGAGGAATTTATGGTACACAAACAGCGTGGCTCCCATCCTTCTCTTCGAACTTTCTCCTACCAAGGAAAGGATGAGTATGATGATCAGGAGCTCGATGACATGGGCTTCCCCGACGGTTTTAATTACTCCTACTTGATTAAGCGGGAAACAATGAGGCTATTCTGTCTCAAGAAAAGGTACAATCTGCTTTCTCGATATGGTGACTGCACACCTGGTTTCATGTTAAGGAGTGTGACCTCGGTAGACGACGTCGTTCACCAGTTCCCTTGGCCGTTCGTTGCGGTCGATGAGCTCCCCGCAAGCATGCCTCGATATTCAAGAACCACGCCATACGGACTCGCTAGGCTGCCACCTGGGTATCAGGTGCAACTGATGTGATCCTGTCTGTTGCGAACCCCTTCGGTGCGAATTGAACCAATATCAACTCAACACATGTCCAGCATGTACAACATAATTTCATTAATCCAAGATATCTCCATAGCGAATGTGACCGATTTCCTCTTTTTTTATTTCCCATAGAGATCTTCCAGCCAAGAGATATAAGCATTTTAGGCCAAGTTCCGAGGTCGGCTTCACGAGGTGCGTGGCCGTGGACCCTTATGACGGCATAGGGCTAATTTCGGCCCCATAACTCCACTATAAAATGAGAATGTGTACAACAATATAAGTGAAACTTCGCTATACGTTGCTAAAAGAAGCAGAAAAAAAGAAGAAAATGAAGCCGTAGCAACAAAATTACCCTAAGGTGAAACGTGTTGACCGAAAGAAGTAAAATCATTTGAAACTTTTTATCCACTTTGACACGCTTAAGAAATGGCCCATCGTAATTTAACTTGAATCTCTCAAAAGAGCTTATTTTGTTTCCGATTTCTCGCGACGAGCGCGAACACCTTGAGCCAGAGTCTCCAATACTGACTCGGTATCCTCCCAGCTGATACAAGCATCTGTGATACTGACACCGTACTTGAGACCGGCCTTGCCCTCTGCGGGGACCTTCTGGTTGCCTAACGTAGGTCAGTACAAACAGTTTCCTATATATAGCAAAATGGAAATCTCCAAAAGACTCACCTTCGTTGATGTTACTCTCAATCATAACACCCATAATAGCATCCTCACCGGCAGCAATCTGCTCAGCAAGCACAGCAGCGACCTTAGGCTGGTTCCTGTGGTTCTTCTCGGAGTTACCGTGGCTGCAGTCAACCATAAGACGGGGACGCATGCCCTTAGCACTGAGCTTAGACTTCGCATCCGCGATGCTAGCAGCATCGTAGTTAGGGCCCTTCTTGCCACCACGAAGGATAACGAAGCAATCAGGGTTACCGACTGTTCCGACAATGGAGACAACGCCTGGCTTTGTGACGGACAGGAAGTGGTGGGGGTGCTTGACGGAGCCAATAGCATCGACGGCGACATCGAGCGAGCCGTCGGTACCGTTCTTGAATCCGACGGGGAAGGACAGACCGGATGAAAGCTCCCGGTGGACCTGGGACTCGGTGGTACGGGCACCGACAGCACCGATGGACAGACAATCTGCCAAGAACTGGGGGAGATTGTGTCGAGCATCTCGCTGGCGATGGGCATGCCCTTGTTGGTCAGGTCGACGAAGAGCTGGCGCGATACGCGGAGACCCTTGTTGATCTGGAAGCTGTTGTCGATATCCGGGTCGTTGATCAGGCCCTTCCAGCCGACTGTTGTGCGGGGCTTCTCGAGGTACGAGCGCATGACGATCAGTAGCTCGTCGGCGTACTTCTCCTTCATCTTTAGTAGACGATCGCAGTATTCGAGGGCCATTTCTGGGTCGTGGATGGAGCATGGTCCGATGACGACCATCAGACGTTGGAGCTTGGTATCTGTGCCATGGACGATCTCGACGGCTTCATCGCGTCCTTGGAGGACGGTCTGTCGTGACTTCTCGGTCAATGCGATCTCATGCTGGAGAAGATTGGGAGGGGTGAGAGGGTTGTAGCCGAGAACTAAAGCTGTTAGAGACCAATTGAGAGTAAAAATTACAGCTAGACTTACTGCGAGAGTCTTCCAAATGACTGTGGTTGCCCACATTAGGGTTATCAATGAAGAACTGTGGAATTGCTAACGTCAGAAATGTGAAATTCAAAATCAATGGAGGGGCTTGACTCACCGACATCGGAGGAGGGGTAGAGGGGATAAAGATGGGAAGGGCAAGTTTTAAAGAGCAATTGGGAGAAGTCGAAGTAATTGCAATGAGCAGAAGAATCACAATTTATTAAAAAAATAAGAAAATAAAAAAGAGACAGCTGATGAATGAGTCAATGGCCCTTCAGAGTATAAAGAGTTCCACGTGATCCTCGGTGAATCTCACCCGGCGCTGGAGTTCCAATCACGGCGGTCCCATTTATAAAAAAATTGTGGATTTGGACTTAAAACATATTAATACTATATGATATTGGTATACGAATCTGATCGCATGCATGTAATACTGCCCAGCCTTACTGCCCAGCCTTGTCTCACCCTCGGGATAATACATGTAGCCTGTGATTTCACCCCCTCTACCAACGCGTCTTTTTAGATTGGCCCTTGTTGCACTCGACGATCAAGCTCCTGCAGTCCACGAACCAGGTCTTGACATATATCTGCATGTTGTTCCTTAACGGATTGCATTTGCTGCCGGTATAGCTGCATTCGTGCTTCTTGCGCCTGGAACAGGTCGTCAAGGATCCGACTACACCCCTCTCGATAGATCTCCAGGACTCGACTGATGGTGGCCTTTTCCGCCGCCAGCTGAGTCGACAAATTCTAAATCCCAGTTAACAAAGTTCTACTCACATAAGGAGTTTCGACTAACCGAATTGGTTTGTTGAAGCAGGTGATGTGCGTCCTTCTGCGCCACTTGCAAGGTTGATATCCATTCCATATCATCACTGTCCACCGTAGATGCTTGGTGCGACTTAGCAGCTCGCTGTGTTGAGGCTGATATATCTGTTCGGAATGATTGATCGAGGTACCCATGATTCTTTGAAGGAGCATCGCCTAATGCTCTCTCGTCGAGCGTTCTCTGTGAAGAACTTCGTCCAATCGTCGATGCTTTCTCGAATTTGGCCCGATCGGCAGTATCCTCCTGAGAAAACGATGGGTGGTGCTCTTTTGGCGGTGGCCATGGGTAAGATCTCTCCAGTTTCTCCAGTTGGATCCCATATTCCAGGAACATGTCTCTCTGGAACTTGGTCCACATGGCCCCTTCATATTTACTCTCGGTGGAAAGACTGCATGAGGAATCTCGATCGTATTCACTTAGGCTAGTGTCGGTGACACTGGTTGTCTCCTCGTGTCCCTTTTCGACATCTAGGTCGAGCTGGGGCACAAACATGCTCTTGACTGACTGAGGCATGAGTCGAGGACTACCGTTGCTGTCGACAATGCTGGTCTTTGGGACTGATTTTAGGGCCTCGGGAGACACAGAGTTCAGTCCCATTAGGGATTCATTGGTAAGAAGAGGCTTTTGAGACTCCGGGGTAGGGCTGGACCCATGTCCCTCATTCCATCCTGCTGTGGGATCATCGAATTTTCCTACATTTGACAGCTCCGAGGAGCTGTTTGCCTGGCTTTCGCAGATGTTTGTGACATATGAAGACGTGGTTGGTTCGGATCTCATGGGTTGCAAGGTTGCAAATCCGGGGATATGTTCCATTTCCATGTGGTAATCAAGGATTGAAGGGCCTGCCCCCATCAGGCCTCTGCCGGATTCAAATTCTGAAGAGCTCGCTGTAGTTGGCAACCTGTCATCTCCCAGCAGCCTCCAGAAGTCTGCGTCATCTGCCTGCTGCATCTGGTCTTCTTTGGGCGGAAGAGTTTTGGCAATCAATGCTGGATTGACTGTCTTAGGCTCGGTTTGGTTTTGGTGCATTCCAAACGGAATTGTTCCGTCCGATACGCTTTCAATCGCTGGGAGTGCCAACGCTGTTTCAGTCGGCATTTTATCGGACAGCTGCTTAGGGGGGGATTCCTCTGGTTGCACTGGATCAGATGAGATTATGAGAGGTGCTGTTGGATCATTGACTGGTTCGTTCTGAGAAGGCTCTGCTCGATGGAGCGCAAGCATCAACTTGTTGCCAACACTCTCTGCCCTGCCATGGTGTTTGGATTGACTCTTTTCATGAACCGCCTTGGTTTTGCTGCTTGATCCGTTTGGACGTGCCCTTGACTCCAGGATGGTGACCTTTGAAGTAGTCGTGCGAGACTGTCCTTTGTCAATGTCGGAACTTGAGGATAGCTCGGGCATCACATGAACAAGTTTGCCTTTATTTGTTTCTCTGTTGGACTGTGCCCGATGCTCTAGGATGCTAACTTTCGAAGTACCAGACGGCCCTTTGCCATGATCTTCGAAATCCGAAGACGAATCAGTTGTCACCGATGTGCAGCTTCTTATCTCAACGATCACACTCCCCTTGCTGTTATTTCCATGCTTGTTGTGGCCATATTTCGGTGACAAAGGTTGGTGTGGAGCTTCGGGCACCTGTCCATTGTGCTTCGTGGCATAATCTTTGCTTTTCCCGTCCAAAGGACCCATGTCGGAAGGTCCGCTATTACCCAGAGGGCCTGGAGGAGGCATAACGCCTGTAGCAAGCGTTATCAATGGCAATTGTGGCCCTTTGCTGCTGTCCTCTTTGGTAGTAGTGCTCTTCCTCGTGTTTGATTTCCTGCGTTTAGCCGAGGTTGTTTGGGGCTTTGGTGGGATTGCTCGCTTGCTTCCTTTCTTTCTGTCAACTGTCTTCGGTCGGTTCGGGTCTGTATCGGCAACATTGGTTCCTCCATTGGTCCCTTTATTCTCAACTGTCTCATTGGGTGTAGGACGAAGATCTTCATCCCAGTCCACTTCTTCGGGTTTGGATTTGGGGGTCTTGGTTTTGTGAGCTTCAATCGAACAATCTTCGACTCCGAAGGCTGGGGTAGAGGGGCTTTCGGCTTTTGGCGACCTGGGCTTGTGAGGCCGTGTTCCGAATTCGCTGGATCTTTGACAGTCGTCTTACTTCCTGTGTCTGGATTAATTGGTGCAGATGGGCCCCGAGATAGCTTCATGGTTGCTATCATCAGACACTTGGAATCAGGACATAAAGACGGGATGTGAAAGAAAGGCAGGTCTCCAGATGAGGATGCTGAACTAAGCCCAGCTCCAAGGCCCCGGGGTGGGCATACGACATGGATCACATGATACCTCAGCTATAACTTCAAATGCCCTACTATTGTACACATCCATGGATGATGAAATGTATATAGATCGTAAATAATGAAATGTGGATTTGCAGATATGATCAAGATAGTCATAGCCATATTTCTGTCGATCCTCTTACAGTTGTCTGAGTGTGAGTATATTCATACCTGGTATACATAGCTATGTTCTCAAGAATGTATATTATTGTCAGTCTATTTCCTTGAAGAGATCGAAAATCGCCGAGATTGATAAAACTACTAGTAGTTAGTGTGTTCTATTTTTATCTCAACTTGTGTGCTTGTCACAAATTTGAGATCATATGAAAAGTACCTTCTTCCCCATATTCTTCCCCATACTCCTCAAAGATCCAACTCAACTGCCATCCTTACCTTCTCTTTCTCATAACCCTCAAAATTAAATGACCAGAATGACCAGAATGACCAGGATGACCAGGATGAATTCATCTTCAATCGAAAATCCGATCGGCCCGTGCACGCTCCGCGATCCGCGATTAATAATCCCCAGCATTCGATCTGGTTTGCTGACAATGCATCAATTCATGGATGCGGCTGAGGCTTTGTAAGTAGTTAACTTGCGCCTAATTATCCCAGTAAGGCACAGGTCTCACGTTCATACGCCCAATATTGCGTTATAGGTCTGTACAATGGCACAACAATCGCCACAAGCCGACGAAGCGATGCCAGCTTCTCGATGCCGGTTCAATGCAACCCAGACTCTAGATCGGCTTCGAAGTCTTCTCCCTCCTTTCCTTGTTAAGCCTCCGAAAGTCGAACTCGACACAGACCCTATTCCCAGAACGAATGTTGAACGTCGTCGAGCCTCATTCGCCGCCGCTTCCCTCGATCAAGACGAAACTCTTCCTGAGCAGATCTCCACGCAGCAGGAACACGGGATTGGTGTGTCGGAAACCGCTGCGAAGGATGAGACGGTTCTCTACCTCGCGTACGGGTCAAACCTAGCTTCCAAGACTTTCCGCGGAGTGCGCGGCATCAAACCACTCTCGCAGATCTGTGTGCTTGTCCCCGAACTCCGTCTCACCTTTGATCTTCCCGGATTACCGTATGCAGAGCCCTGTTTCGCAGGCACACAATACAGAGATATTTCTCCTCCGGCATACGACGAGACCGAACTCCAAGATGACGAGACGGATGTGTCGGACAATGAGTATATGTCAGAGAAGGCAGCGCTCATGGGTCGGATACAGCAGGTGGAGGTTATCTCGGGTTGTGACAAGCGGCAATGGCACAAACCTCTAGTTGGAGTCGTCTACGAAGTCACACTAGCCGACTACGCGAAGATTATCGCCACAGAAGGCGGTGGTCGTGGATACCGCGACTGTGTTATCGATTGTCATCCCTTCTCTCAATCCTACAACCCCTCCGACCCCGTCCCGGATTACCCTACCACACCATCCTTCAAGGCACGCACCCTGATCTCGCCAGCTGCGGACAATGCTCGCATTAAATCGCTATCCCAGAACGGCGATGTCGCGCTGCTACCCAGTGGTTCAAAGCTGTCGTGGTGGTATACCGTATGCTTGCATTTCCGACCAGATCCTAACTACGCCCAACCCTCTGCTCGCTATTTGGGGTTGATCAAGACCGGCGCTGCGGAACATGATCTGCCTGTTTCCTATCAAGAATATCTTGCGCAGATCAAAACATATCATATTACAACTACGCGCCAGAAGATCGGGAAAGTGATATTCCTGGCTCTGTGGGCGCCTGGGTTGATTCTGACTTTGGCATCATCCAGGATATTCGCAGGTCCTGATGGTCGTATTCCACCGTGGCTAGTGGCTTTGGCCAATATCACTTTTGCGGGGATGTGGAATAGCTATGACTATTTCTTTGCTCCTGTCTTTGGGGATGGGGAGCGGACTCTAGATGATACCCAGGCCTGAAGTTGCTTCTGGGCCTTTTTTGATGGATTTTATAGCCGTGTAGATTCTTGCATATACAATTAAAAAGAAGATGATCACTGTACACCACTCAGCTCATTGCCAAGTCACAGAACATACCATATCATATTCCTATATGATACAGACATGCACATCGAGACATAATCGCAACTCTAGACATAAGAGATATGCAATGGTCTCATCTGTCATAATCACAAAGGAAATTAAATTCAGATGACTCCTCGAAGCACACAGTTTTCGAAAGGAAATGAAAAAAAGAATATATCTAGGATACAGATACAGGTGTTCGGGGAGCGTTCTAACAAAACACAGACGCAGCGACCAATAGATAGACACAAAAAAATGACGAGACAGAGAGGCCTCTTTGAAGCACCTGTATCAAAACCGGGGGATGTGGTATGGGTTCCCCAGGTCGTACCGGCCTCTTCAGCCTCTCACATTTTCCCACTTAAAAAGGCCTTGCTGCAAATTTAACGGCGGGGGCCGATCGGGGGGCTGTACACGATCTTGCGGGTCTTGAGAGGGGCCCACTTGTAGCGCTTGACCCAGACGGAGATGGCGAAAAGACCGGTCAGGAGGGCAACGGACTTGACACCCATCTTCTTGCGCTCGTCCATCTCGGGCTCGGCGGACCAGTTCAGGAACTCGACGACATCCTTGGCCATCTGGGAGGTGGTGGCGGGGGTACCGTCCTCGTACTCGACAACACCGTCGAACAGGACACGGGCCATAGCAATACCTATCACAGAGTCAGAAACGCTAAAAAGAAACAATTATGAAACTGTCGTCACGTACCGGTACCGGGGAAGTAAGGGTTGAAGTTCATGCCTTCGGCGACGGCAGCACCAGCGGGAGGCTCATCGGGGTAACCAGTGAGCAGGTTGAAGATGTAGTTGCAGCCACCGTGACGGCCCTTGGTGATCAAGCTGAGATCGGGGGGAGAGCACCAGCGTTGGCGGCACGAGCGGCCTCCTCGTTGGGGTAGGGAGCGGGAATGTAATCAGAGAGCTTGCCGGGGCGCTTCTCGATGTTGCCCTCGTTGTTGGGCTCGGTGTCGTACTCGTGCTCCTCGGCGAAGGCCTTCATCTCGTCGACGGTGTGCATGGTACCGACCATTGAGCGCCATGGGACACGAGTGAGGGAGTGGCAGGAGGCGCAAACCTCACGGTAGACCTGGAAACCACGGCGGAGACTTGGACAGGGTCAGTACAAGGTATGCTGGCGAGAGCAAAAATATGACTTTGGGGGAGAGCACTCACGCGGCGTGATCGAAGGTCTTGTTGAAGCGCTCGTGCACCCAAGGGTACTGAGTAGCGTGGAGTCTGAATAAAATCACATGTTAGCTTCCACCATTGTTCTCAACATGGATCGCACAGTGCTCGGCTGCGGCGAAGCCAACAAGTACGGCGATCCTCCTGGGCAATTTCACTCACCCCTCCTCAGCAGGTGTCATGGCGAAGGCCTCCTGGCCATAGAGGTGGTAGTACCATGCGGTGGAACCGGCGGCGGCGGCAGTTGCAAGCGCAGCAGTGAGTGTGAGGTAGAAGGGGGAGCTGGCGGCCTCGGCGCCGGCGGCGGTGGAAGAGGCACGCTGTTGAAGATTAGCGACAGAGCCCTTCTATGATCCATAGGACATTCAAGGAATCGATTGTCCTCTTCCGTGAAGGTCAATGGGGTAAGGGCGTACCGTGGACTTCCCGAGGGACTGGCGGGCGATGGCCCGGTTGGACGCGCGCAGAATGGAACGTCCCAGCATGACGAAGTTTAACCCAAGCAATTGAATTTGATTGGGAATGGGTGCTGTATCGCCAAAGCGAGAGAGAGGGGTGGGTGGGGAGAGGAGGGGGGATGGTACAGGAGAGAGGTGCTGGAGGTTGAGGTCGAAGTCGAAGAAACTTGACATTGATGATTACCCCCTTGCTCTGATTGGCTCCCGGCCACGCTAGAAAACCGACTCTCGGAACATCACAATTCTGCCGACTTACGATGAATTGGTCTATGGAAATTTTACTAGTTGATTATAATAAATCATTCCATTCTGTCAATAGCTTCTTTATCTTCTTCTAATCCTGTGTTGTCGTTTTTTTTCCTCTTCCGGTTGTGCGTATCCCGGGATTCACCGAGAAAAACACGCATCACCGGAACACCAGTTTTCTATTCGAATATAGTTAGAAGATCTTCAGATCAACTTGCTAACTACTAGCTAGTATATATGTATATGTATATCACACTAGTCTATATCTTCCCTAATATATACCATCTTCCTCAATAGTCGGGGTATCTCGGGGTTTTCTTTGTACGTCCATACATAGCTAAGTACCTATTCACTAACTAGTTAGTTAACTATAGCTATATTTAGCTATAACTATCGGTTTCTGTTGCGATTGTTATAGCATCAGGAAGAATGTCAATTGTCTGTTTAAATCTACACCTCCAATTGGTTTAAATAAAAGTTATGATTGGGAAATTATGTGCTACGTTAAGCCTCAACCCGAAAGAATATATAACTAACTATAGTCATCAACTTGTTTCAAACATCTCTAATTTTTGTAACTCACTCTCCTCATGGGTATTTTCACCGTATTTGAGCTTTTTACAGCCCTAGAAATCAAATACAATCCAACCCTCTTATTTTCTTCCAATTGGAGCAAGCTCGATTTGTCTATATCGTTACAGATGTACCCAATGTATACGATGGAGCGGTGTACATTTTGCCAGCCCGGGGAGGCGGCGGCGTTGGACCCTGTCCGTGCGTGATCGTGCAGTATTGGAATGTGGTTCCTGGTTTGCAGTTAGGAAATAAGTGGTCGGATGTGGAGATGCCTGCATGAGAATTTGACGCCAAATATACCCCGAAGACGCTGTGTCTGCTTGATATCGAGACCGGACCACCCCCACAACCCCGCGGAACAGCTTGGAGCGAGTCCGAGGCTGCCCCAAATCCAGAGCTCCCCACGAGTACCTTGTCTTCCGATGAAGAGCCCAGGAACACAATATGCCAGGTGCAAAAAAAGGGCCCACGGCCGCTGCTCGGCCACGCAGAGATGTGCTGGCCTCGCTGCGCATGGCATCAATGGAAGACATCTCCAGAGCTGCTCTTCCAGCAGGTGCGTGAGATAGAGAGATGCGGTGGCGGGGGGAAACTTGCTGACAGGAAGACAAACAGAGATCGTATCCTCTATTCTCGACTACGTCGGCCCCGTTGATTTGATCCGAGCAGCACGGTCCTGCAAGCTCATGCACGAGATGGCGTATGATGACACTCGATGGGTCCACAGGTTGAAACGAATTGGATGCTGGGATGAAGCAGATGCTAGAAAGCATGCTGAGGTGGTATTTGGGACAGTTGCCAACATGGAGGTCGTCGAGCAGCAGGAGGAGGCTGAGGTGGGCGATGGACCAATCCCTGCGATCACTGTTGGCGATGACCCTTCCAATGACCTGAAAGCAATATCCGATGGATTCGATAAGATTGAATTAGTGAATACCGTGTCGCAGCCCGATATGTTACAGGATCTCCTGGATGAACCCGCCCTGACAGTGTTGAAAAATGTCAGGTCAATCCGGGGCGAGGCGCGTCAGGAATATGGCAAGATACATGCCGCCCTGGCACCGTTTTATGAGGACATCGCGCGAACTGGACCATCGTTGGAAAACTTGGTTTTCACGAAATACAAAGATCCCCAGGCCCAGGCGCAGATACTGGCACAATTGCTAATGTTCTCCAAATCTGATATGACGCAAGGATGGGACGAGCGGGTTGACCGTTTAGAGGGTACAATCTCGATGTTTGAGACTGCTGCGCTGAAGGAGTTCCGCCAGGGGTATGAAACAGACGATATTGACGGGACCATGCGGAAATACGCACACATTTTATGGACACTCAACGGTGGGCAAGCTGCCGTGAACCTCTTCATCCATCACAATCACCTGATGACTCGGAAGTCTGACCTGGGAAACGTCGCTTCCTGCATTGACGGTTCAACGGGCCAGGTCAAAATGGAGCAGACGCAGGCTTTCTTCACTCGGCTTAGTGTCGCCTTCAACGATGAAATATCCATTATGAACCGTGTCTTTCCCTCAGCTTTAGACGTCACATCAACCTTTATGACAAAAGTCGGCCAAGATGTGTTGTCTCCTTTCCTCACGGCAATATTCGATGAGCTGCATCGTATCAACATCAAGTCATATCTCACTGCAATCTCGGGGACCTTTGTCCAATGCATGAACCTATCGGAGTCTCTGCTTCCCATACGAGGCTCTGATGCTAAATTCGACGACTATCTTGATAATGTTGTGATCAAGATTTATGAGCCACACCTCGATCTGTATTTGGCAGAAGAGCTTGATTTTTTCAAGAAGGCCTGTGAATTTACAGTGAATGAATGGGACCGTCATCTCTCTGAACAAGCGGCTTCGACAGAGTCTTTCTTGATGTCAAATATCAACCGCCAAGCCGACAAACGAGACTTCCTTACTTCTTTCAAGAAAGTGATCATGATGCCGGTAAACATCCTACCGAGCTTTTCAAGTGCCAAATCAAGCGAAGAATCGAAAGTAGACACGGAGCCAAACAGCCCAAATCCGTCGCAACCATCCCCATCCAAAAATACCAATCGATTTTCGACAATATCCTCGCCTGCCCCAGTGGCCGTCGAGGAAGTTCCAACCACAGAGCTGGCAGCAAAAGCGGCCATCATGAAGACGAAGATGGAGGGTATCCGCTCATTGTTTAGCATCGAAATTGCACTTGATCTCGTTCATTCCGCCAAGTCCAGCCTGGAGCGAGCCGCTCAATTTGTGCGACTTGGCGGCGAGTATGGTCTTGCAACGAAGCAACAATGTGAAGCAATCTTCGTGACGCTGCTACGTATATTGGGACACCAGCACGTTATTGTTGGATTTGATAAGGCTGTCAGTCATCTATCCAACTATCGACCCCGCGAACAAGGGGAGCGTGACCAATCTGGGGTTGAGCCCCTGGTCACTTTTCTGGAACTGGTCAACGTCGGCGATTTGATCCTGCAAATGATGGATGTATTCTACGAGCAGGAGTTGATCGCCATGAGATTGACTGATAGAAACGATTTTGTGGACCCTGCCAATAAAGAAAAGAAACGGTTCGAACAGATGCTGGATGAACGTGTCGCAGCTGGCCTGAATAAGGGAATTGACGTTCTCATGGAAGAGGTGGACTACATTCTGGCAACGCGACAACTAGCCACTGATTTTAACCCGGGTGTTTCCTCAGATCCACACCGACAGACCATGGACGTAGGCGTTAGCGAAGTTGCCATCGCCGTCGTCGACGTGGTTTCATCGCATACGCAGATGCTAGTCGGGAGCACGGACAAGAGCACACTGGACGTGTTTAATCAAGAGGTCGGGCTCCGCCTATTTTCCGCTCTCTGTAAACACCTCAAGCGACAGCGCGTCAGTGTGGAGGGATCACTCAAGTTGATCAGGTATGTATTTGGATCTTCCACTGCGCAGAATTCCAAGCTGACTTGGCTTCCTAGCGACATGAACCACTATTTCAAGTATATTCAAACATTGCGAAACAATGAGCTCCTTCTCTATTTCACGGCATTCCGTGAGCTTGTGCAGATTTACCTGATCGACCCTGGCGACGCCAAGGAACTGGCGAATGTCATCGCCGATGCGGATCGGTTCCATGGGATTTGGCGTGTGGAAGAGGTTTATGAATTTGCTGAGCGCCGAGCTGACTGGTACCTCGTCAAGCGGGATGTGGAACGAGCTATGTATGGAATTGGTTGCAATGTGATGTAAATGGAGACTATGGAGACTATGGAGACTACCGATACCCCCGGGAATTGCATAGCGAGTGGCTTATACTTTACCTACGATGCGGACATGCATATCGACACGGACTGTTCTCCTAGGGAGAGTAGACTCATATGAGTATATATAGACAGCGATTGATGTACAAATATATCTAACTGCTCGCATTCCTTTCAGTCTCGAAAAGTTCCAAATCGAAAAACATGAGCCAAAGCCAAATACATCTCCGAAAGGCACGAGGTATTTCGAAAAGATGTTGGTTTGTCCTAGCCATCTTCCTGGTCGGAATTCATCCGGATCATCACGGTGAGGGCTGATTTCTATCTATTTTCACTCTTCGTTCATGTTACCATCGTTACTGTTGATTCTTCCCAAAATTCGGAGCAACCGAGACATAACCTGTCTCACCTCCCCCACATGGTTATCATTCCTTTGCGATGGATTTGCTCGATCCCGCAAAATACTCATATCCTCTTCGATATCATGCAGCATCTCCCCCAAGCGCATGGTAGCATGACGCAAAGCCTCGCGCGCGACAACCGTCATTTCATGAGTATCTAGCTGCATATTGCCCAAATGTGCCGTTGCCTCAGTTACAATTACTGCAGGCTTGGTTTCCACTGATCTGTCCCTGCTTCCGTTGTGAGTGCTGGGTGGATTGTTGGATTTGTCTAAGCCACCCCCGTTAGCCCCGCCACTAAGTTGAGTGGATCATGTCGGGCTGAGGATTCACATACCAATACCCACACCGTTAGGTTCCTGGTTCTCTCCCCAGCCTCCGAGGATTGACCCAACCGCTACCTCGTACAGCGTGAGTGTCTTTACCACGGCATCTATCATTGTTTGTAGCATTTGCGCGTCCAGATGCGTCTCTGTTACGGGGCAGCCATGCAATAGTTCCCAGTGCTCGACCAAAGCTGTCCCGATGGAGAGGACTTCATCTAGAGACATTTGATGGGTGTCTAGTGAATATATAGTCGAGATGTCTGGGAAGCAATTGAGGGCTTGGGCTGTCCGGTCGAGACAGTTGCAAGGCTGCTGGGGTTGACAGCGCTGCATAATTGGAGTGTTCCGAGCGAACAGTTGAAAGCTGTCCCGCTTGTCTGAAAATTCCGTTCGTTAACATTGTTATAAAGGCAGGTTTGTATCGCACTACCTCGCACTACTGGGAATTGAAGGGTTTGATACAAAGGAAACTGACCTCAAAGTTGGCAACGCTAACTAACTGACCATTACCTTGCCGATCAATAACAATTAATGCTTTAGGCCACCTATGTGCTTCTGAGGAATATGAATGGTACGCATATATGCTCTGGGATTGCGGCAGACGTCGATTTGGATACACGCCACCATAAAGAGTATTCGGTACAGGAGCCGGGGGCCAGGGGGTTGACTAGAGGACCATAACAAAGAATGGCCCAAGACACAAAAAGGGACCTCGGGTTTTGGTCGGGCACTTATTTATATCTCCTGGGGTCCTTTTCCCATATTATTCATCCATCGGCTACTTTCCAATTCTTCCAAGGTTATTCGCTGGGTACTTTTCTGTCCAATCAACGATGTTCGAAAGTACCCGACGCGCATATATTTGGCCATATTTGGCTGTCGCATATATGTTTGTTCTAGTGTCAATAAAGGAGCGGATACTAGCTTGAATGTCTTGAATGTTTGAACAAGTCACAACTAGTTTGGCAAGATCCAGGCGAATCGGAATGTTTACATCAACGAAAAACATATCGTTACCAAACCAGCCACATCGGGATGGTAATAGGGCAAGTTCCTATTATTCCGCCAATTCGACTCTTCCTTGTAAGGACTCTACACGGTGGCAAAGGTCTTCGGCGATCTGCTTCGCAGATCCTTGTACAACACCACCTCCGGGCCCGACAAATCTCCTGATATCGATCAACGTAGCCAAGAGTTTCCCGATTCGACGCCGTAAAATCTGTCTAATAGCTCGTGATTTGGCCTCGCTTCCCACTCTAAACTTTCCCAGGAATAGATCACAGTTTGCCTCCGGAACGGGACAGGTAATATTTCGATCGAACGCACCACGTACAGAGCGCTCAAAGCGAGCAGCAGACTGATGAGCCGATAAAGTCCTCGTTCCGCCGGGGGAAATGGGACTGGAGATTATTGGCCATGCAGTTCGGAAAATGCGCTCCCTCTCGTGCGCGGAGATCGCTGCTAGGCGAAAGAGATCTTCGAAAAGGGAGACAACACATTCTGCAAGCAAGCTCAAGGCCATCAGGCTGGAAGGCCGTGAATAAAGACATCCCTCGTCTTCGGGTACATCTCTACCACATTTAAACAATTGCTCTTTGAGTAGGCGAGTGTCCCGCTCGGCTGTCATGACCACATCAATTGTTAGGAGCTTTTTGTCCGTGCCACGAGAATGTTCGAGCCAGGCGAGACGACGGAGAATAGTTAAGTAGCATTGACCCTGGCATGGGCCATCGGACTCGGAAGCTGGTCGGGTAGTGCTGCGTGAACTGAGACTACCATTTCGATTGCTTGGCGTGGCGAGCGAGCCGATTTCTCGGTCGCGATTATTGCTGAGAGAGGTATGTCTGCTATGATCGTCGGGCTGTCTCCAATTCTGTGAAGAGCGCATTGAGGAGTTTTGAGGCCATGAAGAATTCGCTGGAATTGATGATTCCGCAAATAGGTCTGATGATGAGAATATGGCCGGGCGAGAGATTGAGGATGAAGCGAAATTGGTAAAATCAGAGTCGCGAAGTCCAGCCGTATCCCCAGAAGCTTCATCCCTCCTTGAATGGTGCCTAGTGGACTGTGAGTTGCCAGTACAATTGGCGGTGTCAGTTGTGTTTCTATTTAGAAGCTCTGGCAATTCCGACTGGGAATTCTGGAGGCTGAGGCGCCGTTCCATGGCTGCTTCTGGAGGACTTGAGAAAGGTAAAAGCTCATTGAACGCATATGAAGTCGTTGTATTAACGGCCGGAGCAATACTTTGCGTCATTCGCCAAGAGGCACTTTCCATGCTCAATTTCTTCCTCTTTAACTCAGTCGGGTTCCGCCTAGGTGGAGCCCCGGTGGGTAACTGACGCGGTAAGAACGGAAGTTGACAGTCGATCGAGGATTGGACGTCCTCCATAAATGCATCCTGGTATATATTGCCCAACTCACCTCTCTGGGAGGCTATGCCGGGGCAGCTCACAGAGCTCGCCAGTCGATCAGCTGCGTCAGATGCGAATGGAGTATCATGCATAGAATCAGCCAAAGATAATGAGATCGCGATGGTTGAATCGGGCCACTGGCTCATAACATCCTCTCCTTCCGTGGCTAGAGGCGCCGTATCCTCTGTCTGGGCAGGTTGGGCATCCAAATCTCCACGCGGAAATTGAGCACTCTGGGACGAAGCATCTCGCTTTCTAGGTCTTCCCATGCGACGGAGTGGGCTATATACACAATGGAGTCCGTGCTTCATACAGCGGTCACACTCGGGCTTGTTTTGGCTGCATTTGATTTTCAAGGATTGGCAGGCGTCGCACGACGTGCGAAGTCGTGCCTGGGAAGACATGATTGGACTAGAACAACAGCATCGGGTGATTTATAACGACGCTCAGTCAAGTTTCATAGAGACCTCGGGAGATACCAGGTCAATGGTCCCCAAGCTGCGACCTTCAGGGCTCATGACTGCTGACAAATATGTTCTGGGCCCCCAACTCGGTAAGGTGTAGCCCAATGTATCCGGTTGTGCTTTGTTCCTCAGTTTTATGTGCATGGGCTGTGAGACCAGAGGATCTAGAGACTACCGTAGAAGCAAAGGCCTGAAATAGTATCTGTAGTGCGCGAGGAGAGAAAGGAACTATCCAGGAGAGACTAATAGAGAAATGAGAGAAGTCACGTGGCATCAGCTTGACATGGCACCGTTGCTCTAGGGGGATCTAGAAGTACCCTCCTCTACTCCATCCCAGAGTATGAAAATGAGCGTTCTTCATTTTTATTCGTTCTGCTACATACATATATTATCGCGTCGTTACACTTATGTCTTGATGGTACTATTTAATTAACTGACGACTTTACACAACCGGCCCCCCTTCTCCAACCTCCACTTTTCACTACCCACGCCAAATGGTGCCCAGAACAATCCTTCGGGGTCCCATCGATATTTCACTCCACTCAGAATATCCCAGTGGGCCCCATAAAACTCGACTTGCCAGCCCTCCAATTGGAAATCGGCTTCGTTCATGTACGACCCAACTGCTGGCCCAACCCCTGCGTGTCTCTTTAGCGCCGGTCCAACCACCCGGGTCATCTGCTCCGCACGCGAAAGCCCCAAGGCAAGGGTCCTTGGTATTTGCGGTAATGGGTGTAGAAGTTGCCCTCAGAGCTGACCCGCAATGTGTACCGTATGTGCATGTCATCGAGCCGTGACTTTAGTGGGGCGAGCAATGTCTCCATCTCGGCAGCAGTCTGAATTCCCTCTATTGTGATAGGATGCACAAAAAAAGCGTCATTTAAGATGGCATAACCGGCTGTGGTCCCGTAGCCCAAGAGAGCTGGGAGTTCTTCTTGCCAGGCTGCAAAGGAGGCCCAGTAGGCATCATCATTGGCCTGATCTTGTCGGGATATGACCATACTGGCGCCTCCCACAGGTACCTCATCGGGAAATGCCCGGACGATGACAGATATGACAAATGCAAAAACACCCCCACCGCCCCCGCCGAGAGCCCAGTACAGCTCGGTGTGTTGAGTCGGCGAAGCGATTATGTGTCGGTCATCTGCTGTCACAACCTCCCACTCCAGTGCCTGGTCTGCCGCCATCCCATTTGATGAACTCAATGGACCATGTCCTCCGCCTTGGATGTAACCCCCAGCAATGCCAACACTCGGGCAGAACCCTGCTACGATGCGCAGCCCGTTCGCATGAGCAACCCTCACCGCATCCGATCCCATAATACCTGCACCAAGGCGAAGTGCACTACCGTTGTGGTTTTGACTTTGATAGTTTGGGATCACTTCAGACGATGGCAATGTCCCGCGTGCCGGTGCCGATTTCCCCATGTACTCATGTCCTGTATTTTTGATTATGATTCGGACATTGTGCTCACGGAAAAAGTCAAGGCTGGCATGTACTTCATCCACCGAACTAACATTGACAGCCATCTGGACGTGTTCATTCACGAGGCATTGAATTTCGGATTCTTCAAAAGGATCACAGGGATTGTTGCCGGCGTTCTGAAAGAAAGCACTCATAACCGAAGTTGGAGAGTTGATGCTGCTATCCTTTAGCCAAATTTGGTCTGCAGGAAGGTCCGGTTACTCAACTGGATTCTAGGCCATTCCCACTCTCCTCCAATCTCCTCGCATTTTGTCGAATTATACTGAGGCTGGTGACCTTGCTATGTTTCTAATCAGAATTGGTCCAATCGGGTACTTTTTTGACCCCTATATAGTAAAACATCGGGTACTTTTCTTTCTCTCACAGCTTGAAGCTCAGTGTGTATTTAACAGAGATTCCTTGCTACTTCAACATTATTTTGCTATCCTCCTGGCTACTATTTATTGTGCATCGCTACATTCACTGAAAACCATGTTGGTGACAAACTCGAACCTGGTTACAGACAAAGAGGAAAGAACCGATACGCCCTCTGAGTCTCAAGATGAACTGGCACCGGTTAAGTACCCATCGGGACCAATTTTGGTCATAATTGTCATCGCATTGATGCTGAGCATGTTCCTGGTAAGTTCCATAGCATACTCTTATAGATACTAATACCGAGCTAACTTCGAGATTTCAGGTCGCCCTTGATATGGCAAGTACCCGAATCATGAAAAATCTCCAAGACACCCTGCTAACTCTAAGTCAAGAGTATTATCTCCACTGCCATCCCGAAGATCACAACCCAGTTCAATAGCATGGAAGATATCGGATGGTACGGCAGTTCCTTCTTTTTGACACTTGCCGCTTTCCAATCCGCCTGGGGTCATGTATACAAGGGCTTCTCCCTGCGCGGCTCTTTTCTGGCGGCCATTGGCATATTCGAGATTGGAAGTTTGGTCTGCGCTTTGGCGCCAAACAGTACTGCATTGATTGTCGGACGGGCCATCCAGGGCATGGGGGAGCCGGTCTCACTGGCGGGTGCTACACCATTGCAGCTTTCATTGCGCCCCCAAAGAAAGTCCCCATACTCATTGGCTTGCTGGGGTCTACATTCAGTGTAGCGAGTATTGCAGGACCTCTGCTGGGAGGCGCCTTTTCGCAGCATGTTACATGGCGTTGGTGCTTCTACATTAACCTTCCCATCGGTGGCGTGGCTGCCGGGGTCTTGCTTTTCTTCTTCCGCACCCCTGACCAGGCCAAATCTGGGATGGGAAAGCCACTGAAGGAGAAACTGCAACAGTTCGACTTCATCGGTCTGGTAGTCTTGCTGGCAGGTTTGATCTGCTTTTTTCTGGCCCTACAATGGGGAGGAGTCACGAAACCGTGGAGCGACGGCTCCGTCATCACTTGTCTTGTTTTATGGGTTGTCCTGACCGGTGCCTTCCTCGGTATCGAGTGGTGGCAGCAAGACCGTGCGCTGATGGTTCCGCGACTATTGGCGAATAGGAATATCGGCGCCTGCTGTGCCTTTATCTTTTTGTGAGTTCTGCTCTCTTTTGCGCCACGGTCAAGCCTCGAGAACAACATCTGACAGAATCAGCCTCAATGCCGCCAACTTCTCGTTGATCTATAACCTTCCAATCTATTTCCAGGCCATTAATGGAGACTCTCCCATGGCTAGCGGGATAAAAAACATCCCAACCATTCTCTCAACATGTCAGTTCCGGTCTCCTTGCATTTATACTCAGCGGGACTTGTACTAATAGACAGAAAGCAATCGCAACTTTCCTATCATCTGCTATTGTCACCAAGGTCGGATACTACCAGCCATTTTTGCTAGCCGGCAGTATACTAGCCACTATCGGCGCGGGCTTGATCTACACCTTCGATCTGACATCCGGTCTGGGCCCTATTATCGGATATCAAATTCTGTACGGTACAGGCACCGGACTCTCAGTTCAGATCCCTGTTGTTGTAGCAGGAGCATTGAGCTCAATAGATGACCAGGCCATTACCATGGCGACTGTTCTATGTACGTCCAAATGTATTCAAGATACCAACTGACAACCCACTGACCAATTCATATAGTCTTCCAGTTCATCTCGGCCGCTTATGGTGTCGGCTCCACGGATTCGATCATGAACAACCTACTTCTGAAAAATATACCCAAATACATGAAGGGTATCAATCCTGAGGAGGTCATTGCTGCCGGTTCAAGCGGGCTTGAAGAAGTCTTCTCGGGCTCAGCGCTTCTTGGTGCGCGACGCTCCTACCTTAATGGTCTACATGGCAGTTGGGCCATGGGAATTGCGCTCTTTGGCGTGACATTTTTGTGTGCCCTCATTCCGAAGCGGGGAGGCAAAGTCCCGCGGCCGGGTGAGCAAGGTGGAAAGGATGACCAGGGCAACTTTGTTCCTATGGTCTAGTTGGTTTGAACTGGGCCTTGGTCTAAATTTTGGCAGTGGAGTCTCTAAGCTCACTTCGGCTTGTGGAGACAAGAGTTATACATACAATGTTGTAGATCTCAGATAAGTATTTGTTTCTACATCCCATAATTTAATCCCTAGGGTAGAAATTGAACATCCATGACTCCAATTTTTAGTTTCATGAGACGAAAGAAAGCGAAATGAGATGAAACCGGATAGTCTAGCAGCACAGATAAAATGGCCAAGATGAATGAAATATCAAATATCAAATATCAAATATCAAATATCAAGTATCAAGTATCAAAGATCAAATATGAAAGATGAAAGATCAAAGATCAAAGAATATCGTGGACGATGCAACCCCAAGCCCTAAAAGTCTGCTGACGTCAACACCGGCGGCTGCTGGAACACCGTCTGAAACGGAGACTCTCTGGTCCAACAGTCTGTCTGGTTGCATTCTAAAACATATTAATAGAATTAATAGAATTGAAAGAATTGAAAGAATTAATGGAATCTTGGGCTTTATCTCTTCCCTAGGAATCTTCATCTTTCAAGTGCAGAGTACGTCTTTCGATCTCTGAAGAAGGTTATCTGATTGATTTTCTATTCACCTGCATTGTGCCAGTTTCTACGAGAAGACAATATACACAATAAATGACCATGGCTGCCTAAGACAATAGACAATACACGATCATTGCATCACCACATTGCTCTCCAGTCGTCACAGCTCAGGACCGCGTCCCAAACCGGATCGGAGCCTCGCGCTCCTACTATTGAACCAACGACAATAAGAAAAAAAAAAAAAAGACCATCTGAGATCATGCAATAACAAACTACAATTAAAACGACCACTTGTCTACAGCTTCAAGTCAAAAAGAAGAACTCCAATCCTTCAACATGGACCGAAACAATCACACCAAATCCACACGATGGCTGGCCATCATTGTATTCCTCAGCATGCAAATACTCAGCACAAAAGCCGACGTAGTAACCGTTTGGACTACGGTGAAAGTACCTGCGCCAGCACCAACAGCGCCCCTATCACCATCCTACACCTCCCTCAACGAGTTCAAGGACGAGATGTTAAAAGTCACGAACGAATACCGCGCCAATCACGATGCTAATCCACTACAATGGAATAACACTCTGGCCGATTACTCGCGGGAGTGGGCAGAAGCCTGTATCTGGAAACACTCGGTATGTATCAATAAATATCCCCCAAGACCACGAGATATTAATGACCAACATTACTACAGAAAAGTAGCTACGGCGAGAACCTCGCATACGGATACCAGAATGTCTCTGCGGCTGTCATCGCCTGGGGCGATGAACGCGATATGTATAACTTTGGGAAACCGACAGGCTTCACTGAGGAAACGGGACATTTCACTCAGTTGGTCTGGAAGGCGACTACGCAGGTTGGGTGTGCTGCTGTCAACTGCGGGTACACGAAGAATTCCAAAAGAGATAACGGGATCGAAGTGCAAGAGGATGTCTTTGAAGAAGATACACTAGAAGAAGATGGTTTCGAAGGGGTGTTGATGGCGCCTCGTTTCAGCACCGATGAATCCGGACAAGATGGGTTGGAAGGGCGGAAGGTTGCGCGAGGTGAGCAGCGGGCTCAGGGGTGGTATGTTGTTTGCGAGTATACACCCCCTGGAAATGTTGTGGGTCAACATGACTCCTACTTCAGGAAGAACGTCTTGCCAAAGAAGGTACCTGCTGTTGACGACTCGTCTACAACCAAGTCTTCTTCGTCCACGACTTCTGAGACTTCTTCTACCACGTCTACGCCGGAACCATCGCCGAATGCTGCGACATCTACTACCATGGGAAGTCAGAGTCAGCCTACAGGAGGTGCTATGAGGTTCGCGCTGGACTCAACATTGGGGATGATGCTGGCAGCATTGGGAACGGTGGGCGTCGGGATGGGGCTTTATACTTGATATAGCTTACTTTTTTAACTGATTTAAATAAACAAATACAAGGTTGAACTTTGCTAGGAACTGGTTTCGTAGCCATCTCTCATGCTTATCCACATTGCACATTTGGTCGGGAGGCGTACCGCTCGATCTATTGATTTTTGGAATGTCCCGATCCTCACTGGGCTTGCCCAGGGGACCTAAAAGAAACACAAGGGGACAGAAGGCTGGGTTCAGGGCACAAGCGCGAAACGCCAGCAGAGAAACAGGGGGAAAAGAGGAACAAAAGGAAACACATTATTTGCGAAAAAAAAAAGAACAGACAGATTCATCAGCCAATGACCTCCTCGGTCTCCTCGATAATCTCCTCCACAATCTCCTCGACCACGGAGTCGCCCTGGTCTTCGACAACCGGGCGCGCGTCTTGGGCGGCCGTGGGTGTATCTGCGTCCTCGGGGAGGCTGAAGGCCTCCTTCTCTTCGGCGAGGAGTTCCTTCTCCCGACGGAGCCAGGCGAGCCACTCGCTGAGTACACGCTTCCGGGTCTCGACAACGGCGGTGTTGGCGATGTCGACAGCGTACTTGTCTTCCTCGTCGAACTCCTTTGAGTACTCGCGGAGGTTCTTGCGCACTTGCTTCTGCTCCTCCTTGCTGAGGAGAGTGGCGGGGCGTGGGCGCCAAAGGAACTGCTTGAACTTTTCGGTGGGGTTCTCGGAGAGTGTAGTACCGGAGAAGGTGTGCATGTTCCAGCCGTTCTCCATCTATAATGCGGTCAATATTATGAATCGTAGTTGAAAAAGAGAATTAGGTTTAGTCTTACCGAGTGAGTCCAGACACTGGCGCTGCTGACAACGTAACGACCGGTGGAGTCCCAGTCAACATCGGTGACACCGTAGTGCTCAACGGTCTTCATCAGCTGGAGGTTGGCTGCGAGATCCTTCTCAGCCTCGATCTTCTCGCCCTCGAAATCCATATCCCAGAAGTCCATATCGAAGTTGGTCTGGGAGTGAACAGTGGCGACAATAACGAATCGGCCCTTGGGCGACCAGTAGATGCCGTTGCTGGTCTTCTTCTCAATAGTGCGAACCAGCTTGAAGTTGCCGGCGGTGTAGCCCTTCTTCTCAGGAGCGAAGAAGGAGACGGAAGTCTTAGGGAGGACGGCGGCACCAGTAGGTGTCTCGCCGTTGGCGATAACGACGAATCGGGATCCATTGGGCTCCCAGGCAAAGTTAATCACGGTATCCTTGAGACTGTCAACAACCTCAACGGGAACACCCTTCTCGCGAACACGGAAGATCTCCAAGTTAGTGGCCATAGACTTCTTCGACTTGGAGTGACGGTCGACCTTGACGCAGACGTAGGCACCCTGTGATTGCCAGTGCAACTTGACATCGGAAACGTTGAACAGGTTACGGGTGCGGACAACCTCCTTTGAGGGAACGCTCATCATACCGACACGGGCGGGGTTGCTGCCGATTTCAGGAGTCCAGAAGCAGAGCAATTGCTCGTACTGCTTGATACCCTCACGGGTAACGGTGGCAGGCGACCACTCGAAGTCCATAGCACCCTCAATCTTCACGGAAGTGCGACCAAGAAGGTTCATGTTGGGGAGTTCGTAGATAGAGAGAGATTGGCCTTGGAGCATGCGAGCAACGTACTTCTCGTCCGCGGACCACTTGAAGGCAGGCCACTGCACCTTCTTCTTAGGTGCAACATCGCCCTCGATCTCGGCAGGGGCAGCCAAATCGTGCGACACAAAGGAACGGAGGGGCTTTCCGGTCTCGATATCCCAGACAATGATGTTCTTGCCGTCCTCCTCGTAAGTCAATAAGGGTTGGCCTTCCTCGACCTGAATGGGGCGTGCTGACCACGTTGTCAAGTAACCCTCAAGCGGGGAGAACTCGATCAACTGCACGAAGGGGTGGGGGAACTGCTTTTGCTTGGAGAAGGACTCGCCGCCCCAGAGTTGGACACCCTGGGGGTGGACGGAGGCAAGGAATGTACCCTTGGGGGACCATTGGACGAAAAGTTGTGTCCAGTGAGCGCGATCCACAACATTCTCCGGAGGGTTCGTCTTGTTGTTCCAGAACACGCCAACCTTGTCGTTACGGTAAAGGGCGAATTGATCCCGGGCGCTGGCATCTCCCATCCACGAGCGCAGGTGCTCCTTCTGCTTGAACGGTTCCGGAACAGGTGCCTTGTATTCTTCATCGACGCGACCTTCACGACCATAACGCTCGATATCCATCAACTTGTTGACGGCCATAATGTGCTTCTTATCGAGAGGGACGCCGTGCAACTGCTTGACGGCGGCAACGGCCATTTCCGGGGTTTCATATTCCACAAATGCGAACCTATATCGCCCCAATGACAGTTAGAGATCGTCCATGATTTCTCCATACCTCATTGGATATGCAATACGCACCCTTCGGTCATCTTCTTGTCGTTAACGGGCATAAAAACCGCATCTTCGGAGGTGCTGCCGACGGAGTTGAGTTTTCTCAATAAGAACTTGACGAGTTTTTGTCGGCTATCTTCGGGCACAACGGGGAGGCCATCGATGACGATAAATGTATCCAGTCCCTCCTCGACCTTCACTTCATATTGCTCCTTAAGATCTGTGGACTAACGTGTTAGAGAGAGGGGCACACAGCCACGAGAAATCTTGCACTTACCGGAGAAATCAATCTCCTCCTCCTCTTCCTCGTGGAGATCCTGCTCGGACAGGTTATCGAAACTGGGCGCCATGATGGGTATACCGAAGGCGTCTAGAGGCTTCGGAGCAAAGATAGATCGGTGCAATTCGCTGATGGATTTTCGGGCAGAAACAAATCGCGGCGGCCAAGCGGGTTCTTTGTGTGGACTGACTCAGCACTGAGTCAGCAACTGTCGATTTTATGATGCCTTAGGAGCAAAATACCACGTGACAAGCCTTCATCTGCTTAGTCACAATTTCCCCAGCTTGAGGTCGGGCCTTTCAATCATCATAGACGTTTCTAGAGGCTCTCAATTGGATACACTTTTCTTTTAGACTGCATATCTTGCACCAAGCTCTTTGACCGACCAGGTCTTTGTCTATCATATCATTTATAAGCTACCTGTCCCTGCGCTTATTTTGCCTGGCCCTTCTCTGTCTCCAATGCCCCGCCGTTCCTAAGCGCCAGTGCGACTTGAGTATAGCCCACCTGACAACTCCGAGCTCTCCCTCGGCCATATACTCCTTTACAAACCCCGCGATATCCTCAATTGCGAATTGCAAATCTCAACCCAGCTCGTACATCTGAACATAAGCAGCCGATCTACGTGATCTACTAGCAACACGATGTCGTGTAAGCTACCTCGCTCTTGCCCCGGCGCCAATTTGCCGGTTCTCCAAAAAGCCTCCCAACTGATTGGTGATCTTGCGCAATAGTGACCTCTGACTTGCGCGACAAATATGTCACCATAATTGACGATATTTTGGGCAGAAGCGACCTCACCACAATCTCCGAGAAGCGAATTCGCAAAGGTCTTCAGGATACCGTCGGCTATGATCTCACTCCGATGAAGGTCAGTCAAGTTACGAAGATTTATGGCGCATTATATTTCGATGTCATTCAAGATGACTGGCGAAGGACTGTGGCTGACATTCACAAAGTCTACGATCAAGCAGCTGATCATGGAACGATTCGATCGTTACGCGGAACAAAACGGTGTGGGCGGGTCGCCTGATGAAACTGCCCCAAGCAATTGTCAACGCGATGGCGATTCAGCTTCAGCTGCGGTGCCCTCCCCGCCCCCCTCCTCCTCTCCTGCGAAGCGCCAGGCCTCCAGCGATGCTACTTCCGAGCCTGCGAGCGCATCACCGCCTGTCAAGAAACACAAGGCCGATACTGATACCGATGCGGATGCGGTGTTCGCGGCCAAGTTGCAAGCCGAAGAGAATTCGCGCGCGCGACCCACTCGTGGGGGCAACACTCGGCGTGCAGCACCCGTGAAGAAGAAGAGCAAAGCCAAGACCTCGAAGAGGGTTAGGGCAGAAGATGATTCAGATATTGGCTCAGGCGAAGAGCCAAAGAAGGAGATCAACCGAAATACTGGATTCCATGTATGTCTTTCTATAGCATATTTCCCAAACTTTCCATTAATTCTAACGGTTGCAGAAACCTATGAACCTTTCCGAACCTCTGTCCGCACTTCTGGGAGAACCCACAGTGAGTACCTCTCTTGATCCTTGGTCATCGGGACCCTTTTAACTAATTTCGCACAGCTTTCGCGACCCCAAACCGTCAAAAAGGTTTGGCAATACATTCGCGAGAACGAGCTTCAGGACCCCAGCGATCGCCGCCAAATCCGATGCGACGATGCTATGCGTGCTGTCTTCAAGCAGGATCGAGTCCACATGTTCACCATGACAAAAATTCTCAATCAGAATTTGTATAACCCCGATGAATAGTTCGGGGGGTGACAGAGTGGTTGGTCATTATGGGGGAGCAGGCCCCAAACCAAGTCCTGTTGCTTAACGATTCTCCTTCGTCTTACTTCTTTTCTTGCGATGCATGGGGATGCTGGCGTGAACTTTGAGCAATTTCCATTCGCCATTTCTATTTGTTTTTGATTTGACTTGCTTGTGCTCTCCAGCGGGAGCTAGTGTAGCCCTCCATAGGTGATTTTATGGGCTTGAAGGCCCTGGAATCCACTGCCTACATGATATACATATGTGCATGGCCTTCCACAGTAGACTGTAGATTGTAACAGCTCACAATGTGTGTTCCTTGGTCGATTATATCATTGTACATCATGGATTTCGATGTTTACTCTTTGCGCAACTTCTGATGCTCTTTTGTTTGTTAAACCCCATATGGTCTATAGATACATCGCAGCGTTTCTAGGAATGGATCAAACAGTCTTTCATTAGGCTCCCAGCTGCCTATAAGCTCATGATATTTTGACCTGATAAAGCAGCCGGCGCAAACAAGCCGATGAGTCTGCCTAATATGTGTGGCCACTAGCATGGTGTTCGTATAAGGGAATGGGCAAACACAG